GAACCGGCCACCTTAGGTGTATGTGGCTGGCGCCTTAGCCGCTTGAGCCACAGGCGCCAAGCCAGAAGCCTGTGTCTTTGAACTAAATCTTTGTACATACTGCTTTTTTTGTTTGTTTATTTAAGACAGGTTCTCCCTCCCCTCCCCTCCCCCCAAAAGATAGGTTCTCTCTATGTTGCATAGGCTGAAGTACAATGGTTATTCATAGGCACAATTGTAGTACGCTACAGCCTAGAGCTTTGGGCTGCAGCCATCCTCCTGCCTTGGCCTCCTGACTAGCTGGGATTATAGGTGCATTCCACCATGCCTGGCATGTGCACATTGCTTTTATTTTTTTAGAACCCAAGATTTAAAATGTAACCAATTCTAGTCAAAAATGTGGGCATGTGCTTGCCTGGGCAGCACATGTACTAAGATTGGAACAATACAGAGAAGATTAGCATGGCCCCTATACAAAGATGACACAAAAATTTGTGAAAGCGTCTCATATTTTTATTTGTGTTCACTCTTTCTCACTGGGAAAGTAACATCACAGACTTTTAACAAGTCCAGTAAAACCAATGCAAATTGTAATGCCTGTTTTAGATGCACAATAAAGACTATATTCATTGAAAACTGCAAAAAATGTGGGTATTTTAAAGTGCCTTTTAAAAGCCTTCACCCATGTACATTTCAACCAGTGATTTTTTTTTTCATTAATTTTTTAGAGGCAAAGTCTCTCTCTGTTGCCTAGGCAAGGGAATAGTGACACGATTATACCCTACTGCAGCCTTGATCTCCTGGGCCCAAGGGATATTCCTGCCTTGGCCTCCCAAGTTGCTGGGACTTCAAGGACACACCACCACATGGGCTTCAACCAGCAGTTTAAGAGAAGGACTCTTTTTCCTTGCCAGTCATGGTATTATCAATCTCCAAAACATGTTTTAATATAACAAGAATTCATGTTATACAAAAGAAGCCAGACACGAAAGAGTACGTACTTTATTAATGGTGTAAATAATCTGGAGAACTAGGGGACCATGTGGGTGCTGAAAATGTCCTCTAACTTGAGCTTGTTATACAGGTGTTATATGTTTTACATATGTTAAAATTCATCAAGATACACATTTACAAGTAATGCACTTTACCATATCTACATTATACCTTAATAAAAATATTTTTAAAGTCACTTTCTAAATATTATAAAAATTTCAAACATATGGAAAAATAGAAAGAATAACACATTTTATATCACTAGATTAAATGATTGTGAATATTTTCCCGTATTTGCTTTATATATACGTTTATTTGTATACTGTGTATGTGTGTATAAAGACATTGTGACTTTTCATACCTAGTTTTTTCCAAAATAGAAAGGCATCTTCCTATCTAACACAGCATGTACTTCCAAAACAGAAAGGCATTTTCCTACATACCACAATACCGTTATTACATCCAACACAAGAAGTACAATTCCTTAAAATCATATAATACTACCTCAAATTTCTTCACTTGTTGTGTCCTTGGTTTTTCAAAACAGAATCCATTAAATGACAATATATTACATTTGATTGTTAAGTCTTTTTGAATCTAGATCCAAATTTGTTAACCTAGGACACTGTGGATACCATTCCAAATTCAATCCATGAACTTGGATGGAGAAAAAATTATATTTTTTATTTCACCAAACTCTAACTAAAATTTAGCATTTCCTTTCATTCTAAATGAAGGTAATAAACTACAATAGTATTAGCTGTGGCTTTGTCACCAATAGAAACTGCAGATGTTTTCACAGCACCTTATAGTTATTGCAGATATCTCAGAAATATCATTCACATTCATCACTACTTTGAAACTATTGAAGTTATTAGATTTGCTGATAGATCTTATTATTTACGATAATTGAGCATGCACGTTACCGTATCATACTTTAAAATATTTTGACAACTATATTTCAATGTAATTATTTTTCCTTATAAACCTGTGGGTTTTTGTTGTTGTCCTTGCAGTTGTTTAGCTGGCCGGGGCTGGATTTGAACCCACCACCCTCGGTGTATGTGGCTGGCACCATAACCACTGTGCTATAGGCACTGAGCCTATAGTCCTGTGGTTTTTGTGTAATGCATTTAAAAACATTCTGAGAAAAGAGTTTCTTGGCTTCACCAGACTGCCATGATGGTCAAGAGGGAGCCCTTGGCTTAACAGTCTGCCCCACACAGGTACCCTTTATTAGCAGTGGTATTAGTATTTGTTCATGACATTTGCTTTTTAAAGAGTGTAAGCCTTTTTGAATGTCTGACATTTTGGATTTGTCCGATTGTTTACTCATGTTTTTTAATTTGTCCCTTGTATTTCCTATAAATGCACTTAGATCTAAAGACTTGATTAGATCTAAGTTGTTTTTGACAACAGCATTCTAAAGGTAATGCTCCCCACTGCACACTGCATTACATCAGGAGGCACATAACATCCTGTTGCCCTATTCACTAGAGATGCTATTTCGATCATTGGGGTAAGGAGATAAAGGGGCCTTTGTTTTTGGATAATAAAATGGCATTGAATTTTAGGAAAATTTTTGAACATATACAACAGTAAAGGGAATAGTGTAATGAACTCTGGTATATTGGCCACTCAGCTTCTATAATTACTAACATGTGGCCAATCTTGTTTGCTTTGTATCCCTCATTCCTCACCCCCCCCAAAATATATACACACAAATTCTAACATTGTGTTGATTTCATTCATAAACAATTTAGTATCTCTAAAAGATAAGGACCCTTTTGAAACTCTGGGAGGCTGAAGCTGGTGAATTGCTTAAGCTCAGGAGACTAGCCTGAGCAAAAGTGAGACCCCATCTCTGCTAAAAATAGAAAAACTGAGGTCAGAGGATCACTTGAGCCCAAGAGTTGGAGGTTGCTGAGAGCTATGACACCATGGCTCTCTACCCAGGGCAACAGCTTTAGACTCTGTCTAAAGAAATAAATAAGCACCTGTAGCTCAAGCTGGTAAGGCAGCAGCCACATACACCAGAGCTAGCAGGTTCAAATCCAGCCTGGACCTGCCAAACAACGATGGCTGCAACCAAAAAATAGGAGGGCATTGTGGTGGACGCCTGTAGTCCCAGCTACTTGGGAGGCTGAGGCAAGAGAATCGCTTAAATCCAGGAGTTGGAGGTTGCTGTGAGCTGTGATGTCACCGCACTCTACCCAGGGCGACAGCTTGAGGCTCTGTCTCAAAATAAATAAATAAATAAACAAATAATTCCTTATTATCTTCAAATGTCCAATCAATGTTCAGATTTCCTGACTATCTCATGTATGTTTCTTTACCATTGTTTCAAATTAGGATCCAAACAAGATCCACACATTTCACTTAATTAAGTTGTCTCTGTCTCTTCCTTTTTCTGACCATTTACTTGTTCAAGGAACTGGACCATAGAGAACTAGCATACTTTCTTGAAGTGTTTAATTTACAGATTAATTAAACCAAACATTCTTCAAATAGAGTTCTGTGGGAGAATAAAATGTGTTTGATTTGGTATATGTTTGGTTTTTTTTTTATTTTAGCACAAGTAGTAATAAGTTATGTGTTAACATAATACATCATCAGTCAGCGGTAAGAAGAAAATAGTTTTTAAGACTAGCTTTTTAAAATGTTACTTCTGAAGGCTCTGTTGTCCTAATTTCCTCACATGAGCTGAATTTGGGACTGAAGCAAAACAAATTATTGCTTTTCATAAAGGCTTTTTAAAAATGAAGAGGATGACAATTACTTAATATAAACTATAACAAAATAAATTTGAAATCAAAATAATCTCCCAACTAGAATGCTGATGTATTAGTTTCTTGGGATTGCCATAGTAACTTCATAGCTTAAACATAAATGTGTAGTTTCACAGTTTGAGAGGCTAGAAATCCCAGATAAAGGTGGTGATAGGGTTGGTTCCTTCCGAGGACTGTGAGAAGAATCTGTTCTCCTGTAACCTCTTGTGGTTTGCTGGCAATCTTTGGTGTTCCTTAACTTGTAAAAGTATTATCCCAATTTTTGGCTTCATTTTCACATGGCATTCTCTCATGTGTCCAAATGTTTGTGTCTAGGTGTTTTGTCTTTGTCCAAATTTTCCCTTTCCCCTTATCAGTCATAATGGATTAGGAGCCCACCTTATTCCGTATGACCTCATCTTAAATTGCAAAGGTGCTATTTCCAGATAAGATCACATTCTGAGGTACTGGGGGTTAGGATTTTCAACATACGAAATTTAGAGTAACACAGTTCAAGGTGTAGGATATTTTCTTTGACCTCTCATCAATTTACCAGTTTGCTTTTTCTTTGACCCTGTGTGCTGCTCTGGAAAAATGCCACCCCATTTCCCATAACCTGGGAAGTAAATATTCCTCTGTAAAGACAGAGGTGTTTAGAGATCTTCATTTCTGATGCTGAAATTTTTCATGTTTTTCTCCCAAGGTCAGAAATTGTATTTTGAATTGAATTGTAAATTAGATAATAACATGGTAACTGCGGAGAATGCTTGACAATCTGAGAATGACTGAAAATATGTAAAACAAAGAAAGAATTTGCAGCTGTCAAATTTTGCCCAAAGAAAGCAATTTTTTGTAGGAAAAAATATCAAGGAAAAGAGAATGTTTTGTGTTTTGAGACTTCAAAATGGCTGAAGGAAAATTTTTTCGATTTGAATCACTGACTTAAAATAAAAAGTCCTAAGAATCTGCTCACAATAACTACTGTATTACCTTATCACTAAAACAATTTACAGTGTTTTAAAAATAGAACAGAGCTGCTCTCCAAACTAATCTTCAACAGGGTCACGTTGAATGAGAAATAAACATTTCAAACGTTTCGAGACAGATCACGATCAGCAATATTTATGAACTGTACTATGTCATTAATTTTCATGTCTTCTTATTTCCTAACCTCTGACTTTCAGCTGCCCTTCATTTTTCTACACCATTTTGTAACTGTGATTTTACAAAATGGAATTTTCTAGTTTTATTGTTTCTTTTTTAAAACTAGTTCCATCTTAGTCGTCGTTGTAGGTATTGAATTGTTTGAAAGTAAGAAAATTCGAGTTGAAGTCATTTATTATCGTTGATAAGAACTGAAAGAGGTGAAAGTAACATCGATGGTGAGAAACGAAATTGGTCAAATGACGGCAAAAGCAAAAAAATAACTAAACGAGAACCGCCCAACGTGGGGCTCGAACCCACGACCCTGGGATTAAGAGTCCCATGCTCTACCGACTGAGCTAGCCGGGCTGTTGCACGGCACCGCTTTTCTAGATCTCTTCAAAGGAATATGATTATTTTTAACTTGTTCCAAAAGTTATATTTTGCAGGAAATGACTTTTCTACACTCTTTTTTAGCAAGGTTTTTCATGACTTTCAAAATTGTACTTCATTTCTGATCCCGGACGCACAAACTTTGTTGTTTAATAAAAATTTGTAAATAGCCCTCTAGTGGTCAGCACCTTCCAGTTTCCTTAAAGGAAAGGAGGCCA